TCAGGTTGTAATGTGTGCAAATTATCGTAGAAATTGAGCACAAAACAAACAGAACGCTTTTTTACATTGTTCTAATAAACAAAATTGTCTTAAGCTTTGAAAAATAACRCATATGGGATATTAGGCAACTATTCGACGAAGGCGAAGTGAATATCGTGTAATATTCACCGAGACACGAGTCTTTGAGCGGCGAGGTAAATATTCTCCATATTCACTGAGCCAGAGGCGAATAATTGTTTCATCATATACCGACATGTGTACAGAGTAACTTATTTTTATATGCAATAATTCGATAAAATCAAACAAACAGAAACTTTCAGTTTACGTGACGAATTCACGCAAAAATTTTAGCCATACTTCGTTGCCTTTTTAGTATTTATGGGAATGACACTTACTTTTATTTTTCAATTTCCTCATCAGAAATTGTAGCAAAACGATTGCCGGCAGATGCCATTTTGTTGTCGACTCAATATTCCGAGATTCAGAGGTGAATATCGTACAATATTCACCTCCAACTAACCAATGAGCGCGCGCGTTCTTAGGAAGTACACAATGGTTTTTGCTAATACCTGTTATTCCGGAAAATAATAATAACAACAACAACAACAAAAATACAAAGCAAAACAAAAAACTAACTGATATATAGATAGTCACGTGCAAAATTAGAGGGTTTCGCCCTTCTGAAGTTCCAAAGGGTGTATGGTTCTTCAATAAATTCGTCATGAAGATTATTTAGCGGKTTTTGAGCGCGCGTGCATCGTGCTTAATTCGATTGTTGAAAAGAAGTCAGTTAGGTCTGCTTAGGTTTATTTATTTTTTCTCATGAAAATTTACTTCTATAATGTAACATTATTATGTGCACTAACAAATATATTCTTCATTGGATAGATGGGAAAGTTATGCTAACTAATTCCCCATCAAGGATTGAAGCATTCGCCGGAGAAACAGTGAGATTTAACTGGAATTACACTGTTGATGATAAGAACATGGACTTTGGATATTATGTCTCATCTCCAGTCTGGTATTATTATAACCCTGATGGACATACTAAGTCAGTCATAGCAGTTGATGATGGGCTGCGTGGYTGGAAGTGGACGATAAGTCGACGAACATGTCCACCAAGGCTGCTGTACCCTACAGTTCGCGTTAGCAAAGAGTCAGTCGCTACTTTGGTCATTTCTAACGTAACAAACAATGACAGTGGAGGGTATGGAATATCTTTGGTGCTAAGAATATCTCCTTCAATCAATAACAAAGTGGAACTCATAGTAACAGGTAAATTGTAACAGATGCGATTYTTTCCTGAATGAGGAGGTTCAATAAATGTTGGATTTGGAACTTGTTTCATAATCGATTGATTGGATTAAGCATATGTATATTGAGGGAATCAAGGCAGGCTGAATGAAGTGATAAATGAATAAATTTTTGTGCGGACACACCATAACCGGGACCACACTTGAAGAAATTTATATATACGATAATGATCAGTGAAAACAAAGGAATCAAGCTTAAGTCAAGCTTTAAACAAGCAGGAGCAAGCAAAGAAGCCTAAATATCTTAAAAAGACACATAGAATTTATGAAAGATTTTGATATTAATTTAAWTTGTTCAAGTAGTCCAGGTTTGTGTTTCCGCACTGATCTGATGGATAATATAACGATTCATGGATCAATAGAAAAATACTATTAACCTGGCGGTAAATTCTAAGCYTACTACTTATGYTTAATACATATCTGTTGTCAGATAAAATGGCTCGTTTTACTAAAGTGCCCTCGAGTACTTTGTTTGTTTCAAGBGGTAAAACAGCGCGATTCGAATGGAAGTTCACTTACGATAACCGAAATATCAGGCTCCTTTCAGAATCACCCGTGTGGAGCTATGTTGACCAAAACAACCAATGGGTTACCATAGCAACGGGGGGAAAAKATCCGTCATCGTCAGCGGTCATAAAGACGACAACGTGTCCAGCAAGATTGTTGAATCCTACTCGAGTCAGAATCGAGCAGCCTGCTACTCTGATCATCTCGAATGTAACTGAAGCTGATAATGGGATATATGGATGCATGTTGAAGTTAAGAAGARAACTTTCAATAAACAGTACATCTACGCTGGTTGTGACAGGTAATTAGTACTAGCTCCCTACTGTTTGCACCAACTCTGATGGTATGCGTATTGCGTCACTGAACGCTTTTGATTT